CTTCAATTACCTCTTTTGTTACGATATACATTGTCATCTCTTTAATCATTCATCAATCTTTATTTTCTGGAACATTTTTATCGCTTTTATTTCTTGATTTTACATCTGCATACTTGTTTCACCATCTCAATGATTTAATATCATCAGAATGAAATCTATTTATCTATATCCTACGTTTTTCATCTTCAGTGTTCCTAGAATGTCATCAGTCATTTCCTTTATATAACAGCCAATTTGAATAAAAAAAACTTAATGAACACCTCTCTTTGCATTCTCTCTTTAAACAACAAAACCTCCAAATTTTTCCTTTATTTCCAAACTTGTTTTTTCCACATTTCCATCGTACACATTTTTCTCGCTTTCTCTTCTGATGTCCAATATAGCATTTCTTTTCGTATATTTTTCTCTAATAACCTCCTTATTTATTTTGATATAATTATGATTTTATAACTTCTATTGCTCCTAACTACGTTGCATATTTTTACTCCCGACAATATTGCATTGAATATGTCTTAAACTAATTAGCAGTTCTGCAAAGGTGAGAACGTGCTGCAAAAAATGGCTTTTTGAATCATTTATTGCATACATGTATATAACTAACTTTTGAAATGAATAAATAAATAACCTTTGACACAGATGGTCAGCCGAGACTCTTACGTTTTTGAATAGATACCAAATAAGAACAGGGTGTAGTTACATGTCGCATTTACCGGGTTAGAAGAAGCCAAAGAACATGTGCAGATTTATTTCCACGAATCATAACAGCTAAAGAACGGTAGGAGGAGACGGGAGTTTTAAGTGAGAACTACACTTAACCCTCTCTCCCTTTCTTCTCCTTCCTCTTTCCTTCTTCCTTTTTTCTTCTTTTCTCCCTCTCCCCCTTTCTTCTCCTCCTTCCTTTTCTCTAAATTACGATTCGACCAGATTCGTAAACGAAATTAGTTTCTTTATGATTTTGGCGAACAGAAAGAAAACGGGTTATGACGAGCAAAGAGAAAATGGGTTAAGCCGAATTAAAAGAAAACGGATTTTGACAAACGGAAAGAAAGCGGATTATGAAGGACGAGAAGAAAACGAATTATAACACAAAGATAAATCGGAATATAATGAATAAAGAGACAATACATTATGATTAATAAAAACTATATGTAAAGCACAATAATTAACGAATAATAGATTTAAAAAACAAACAATAAACGGATTATGGCAAACGAAAAGAAAATGGTTTATGACGAACTAGAAAGAAAACGGAGAGTCAGAACTCGTGAGAAAATTTAGAAAAGTAAAAAAAGTTATTTCGATCACACAAGAGATCTATTCAGGAAGACGTTCTTACAGAAAACCTTTGCTGGAGAAAAATAATTCAAGTGGGAAGATGATTTATTCAATTCTCCGTATTATTAGGGCTATTAAATCGATTATTTTCGGTATTCGACATTTATTGCAACTTTTACTTTTATTTTGATGCATTATAGGACAAATATCTTTATTTTTTTATATATAATTCTCGACCTTGCAAGGAGCACTAATAAAAAATATTTAACCTCCATGTCTAACAAAATATGAAAGAAAGAAAAAAAGAAAAGAAAAGAAAAAAGGAAAAGAATTTAAATATATATATATATATATATATATATATATATATATATATATATATATATATATATATTAATGAAAAAAACGAATTATCCTTCGTCGGTTTGCAGAGTAAGTTAGGAAGCCAAACCCTGTGATACTTTTTTGTTATAGAAGAGTTTTGTCTAACAATAACCTTATAACTTTTCTCCCTCCATGATATACGATTTTCATATCTACGTTCTTTTATCCGGGCTTCGAAAAAAGAAAAATAATGTTTCAATAAAAACTAGTTCTTTCTTTTAGCCAGATTTCAATATAATGATAATAATAATAGTAATAATATTAATACTAATGACAATAATAATAATAGTAATACTAATGATAATAATAATAATGACAATAATAACAACAGTAATACTAATGATAATAATAGTAATAATGATAATAATAATAATAATGATAATAATAATAAATAAATAAATAAAGAATAAAAAAATAAAATGTTTCAATAAAAAACTAGAAATGTAGACCTGTATATATGAATCTCACAAACGTTATTTAGGAGAATATATAACGTTTCAATTCACAACAGCTTTCCACCCAAGTGCACCCGTGTGTATTGGGTTATTCAGCAATATTAATTTGACTATTCACTCTCTGGACACTATTTCGGAAGTTGTTTATCGTATGTTGTGACAGTCATTACAATTTGCTTCGTAAACATTAGGTAGTTTGAATATTTGCGCAAGTGATGTGATCGTTAACTTGCATGAAACTGTTGATATGCAAATTAGTTTAAGTGGGGAAGGGGTAGGGGTGGGGATGGGGGGGGGGGCGGGGGTAGGGTGATACATGCATAGCCGAAATCGATGTTAATTTTGATATTGGTTGGAAGACATCTTTTACGTACAAAAAATTGCAA